TAGTTTGAATGCATGTAACCTATAAGTAATTAGCCAATGCTAATAATAATTTGCGATATTTTGTGAAACCCTAAATGCAGTGTTTTACACTATTTTTCTTTCATTTTTCTCATTTACCAGCACTGTTGGTAAATGCAATAATAAAGAAAATAAAAAACTGAATAAAATCATTCAATAATTGTAAAAAATTGTACAAATGAAGTGTTCTTTGTAAAACTTCTGTTTAAATCATCAAAATCAAGCAGAATTATTTTAAAATGGGATAATGAGAGTGGTTCATTATTTCCACATACCTCATGTTAGAGCTCTATGCCAAACCACCAAATTAGGAATTTAATAATAATAGCAATCATTCTGACGAATACAAGCTCAACCAGACATTACTGGAAGTGTAGAAGTACCAAACATAAGCACCTCAGTGTGCGCTGTGAGTCAACGTTATATCTTTACACCTGTCTTTCTGATTACATCACGGTGTGACGTGTTCATAGGTCATTTCAGCTTCCTCAGACTGAGCTGCGTGTACAGATAACCTTAACAAAGATGTTTGTGATACAAATAGGACAGCTTAGAAAGGTCTGCCATTTAACTAATCTAATAACTAGTTTAAAAGATGAGCCATCTCCTTCCTTTCTGTTCTGTAGAATCAATGAGGCATAAACATAGATTTCCTGCCTTGTTTAGAAACTGTTTGCGTATAACATCAAGTATCTACTGCTTACATGGTATTTGATCAAATACCATGATCAAATTGTTAAACTACTACTATGTTTAGTAGTTTTTACTTTAGTTTTGATTACTGATACCATACCTAACATATTTTAAGTTATCTGTGTTTATATTCATGCTTATTTAGATTTGTAGCCTTTTTTTTGCCTATGTAATTAGTCTCCAAAGTTGAATTATCCACATAATCTTACTTTAATCTCTTTTAGCATGTAAAGCCAAATTTGTGGTAGAAAAACTCCTTAACAGCTGAAATTAGTATCATAAGGGACAAGATGTCTCAACCAGAATCTCCCTTAATGTTGATCACGAAAGACGTTGCGTTTCCATTACACATGTGCACAGCACTTTGTTGATATTCCTGCTAATGCAAAAAAAAAACAAAAAAAAAAACACAATTTGCCATTTCTCTGTTAAGTAAGAACATTATCCTCCTACCATTTATTGTCTCTGTGGTTTTTGGCAGCAGTAACAGCCGAGTTATTGATCACGTGATTTGTGTGATGCAAAAAGTCATTTCTGTCACAGTTTTGCGAAGTACACTAATTTTGATACGGCCGAAAAACCACCTCAAACTTTTTTTAATCAGAAAAACGTGAATTTTTGGCGCCTTCCCATTAAGCTAATTTGTTTTTGTAATTCCAATTTGCACAATTGTACAGTCAATTGAAACGTAGTTAGAGACTCCCTAAGCCACCAAGTTAGACCAACTTCATGAAAAAAATAGTTTTCTCATGATGTCTTTCTTTTGAACATCTCTCTTTATTTCATTTGCTGTTGCGTCTTTCCGATCATGTTGAATAACCCAAACGGGGCGATCAGACGACGGTGTGTAGTCACGGCTTCATTTCAAGAAGACTTTCAGATGGCTGCACATACTGTTCCTCCTGCGTGAGGCATCGGTATACTTGAATGTGCAGACAGAAGTGTGTGGTAATGAGGGCGTGTGAGTTGCGCTTGTGAAATTCTGGTCCGAAGGCCTGTCGGGTCTTGTTGGAGAAGTTTTACGAAGAGGTGGTGAAACAGGAAAATCAGAGCGTCTGCATCCAGAGGCAACTCTCAGAAACTTCCTGACATGTGGAAGGCCTGCTTATTTTTTAACTCCCACTTAGGGCTAATAAAGATTGAAATAGAGGTAAAAATCAGCTTGACGTATCATAACCACACATTTAAGTATGTTTTTTTTTTTTTTTTTTTTACCTTTTACATGGAAAACAGTTTTCAAGTATTTAGTAAGCATAACTTGCTTCCACTCCACTCCCTACATGTGTGAGCCCTCTCTAATAAAATCAGCCTTTAATCTTTAATCTGCCAAGCCTGTATAAACCTACACATAAAACTGAACCTCCTGATTAAAAGAAGACTCACAGCAGCTGGTTTAGAGAGATACCAGTTAACCAAGCTGAAAAGTACTCAAATGGATGTTTTATTTTTCGACAAATCTCTCCGTTGTAGTTTTTGGCTCGTCGGACTTGTTTCTGTAGCATGAATGGGAGTGGCTGGATGTCTGTAATGAACGCCGTTTGGAATAGGCTCTTTCGTGCCTCGCTGGTGAAAACATTTGGGAAGCCATTTGACAAAAACCACCTGTTCAGAAACGCTGCTTCAGAACTGAGTCATTTCTCATTCGGGTTCCTCTTTTTATTCTTTTTTTAGTGTTAGTTCCTTTTTTTCCAGCCTCAACGTCAAGGCCCTCCTCAGCGGCTTTCCAGCCTGTCAAAAACTGACCACCTATTATGCAAAGGTCCTCTTTGCCCCAAAACAACTTTTCTTCGGTTCTCTTTTTCCCAGCAGTTGCTCTGCTCCTCTTATCGGTGTCCAGGAAGAGTCATTGTTTTTCTTTTTGAATTTCCTGTATGCTGAAGGGAGGCCTGAAAGTGCTGACCGTCCATCTGTGTTTTTTCTCATGAATGAGGCATTTTGTGCCAACGTCGGTTCAGCGGGACAGCAAACTTTCTGAATACGAAGGCGCACGTCATACTGGTCGGGTTATAAATTGGAAAGTCTTCTAATAATTGTATGAAATTGTACAAGTGGAACTAACATGCTCTGTTAGTTCCACTTTGCAATTATGCACTGCTTTTGTCCATTGTGGATTTTCTAATACAAAAACATAGGAAGTGCTTAAGATTGAATGAATTCTTTTGGGATAACAGCAACACAATGGCTACATAAAACAAAACAAAAAAAGTACCCATTTGTTATATTTTCACTCTTACTTTGTGTTGATGGAGAAACATGGCATTGTGTCCTTGAAGTCAAGTCTGTGTAGAACATTTTACTAACAAGGGCAATTCAGAGTGACTTACATAACCATTTATGAAACAAGAATTTAGTCAAATACCATGATCAAATTGTTAAGCACGTCAAATGTATTAATTAATGTTCCAGTTATTAGGAATCAAAAGCAGGCGGGTTTTTAACCTTAGTTCAATGGAACTTGAATTTTGGTACTTCCAGATTTGTGGTGCATGGAAGCTGAATTTTTATTTTTTTTAAAGAAAAAATTTCAGTCTTTTGGGAAATGTTTTCTTTAACAAAAACATAAATACATGAATAAAAAGATAGCTAAGCAAAAAATTGACTTTGAAAGTTAAGACAGTTTGATGCTTTCCTTCCTGTTCCTGCTTCGTGCCGCCTGTCACAGTCTGTGGGAACACACAGGAAATGTTGGTGTCCCTGAGCTGCACTGGGTGGTACTGCTGTAAACAGACGACATGGCTGCAAAGTAAAACTAAAGCGTTTAGTTTTACTTTCAAGTTGTGTCAAATCAAAAGCGGAATAACAGATTTTTACTATTTCTCAACTTGTAGACTTGGACTTTGGCTTTTCTTGGAAGAGCCTGTTGTTTTCTCAAGCTTGTTTTCTTTTGATGGGGGTTTACACAAGACTGCAAGATCTGACATAGTTTAGCTCACGCAAACAGGAAGCAAGGCTGGGCACATTAGGTGGTTTTGAATTAACTACTTGCACTTTTATACAGATACGTATGCCTGCTTTCAGGCTTGATGCTTTGATTTTGCAAAGTGAGGTTGAGAAATGGTACTCATCTGTTTCTCGTTTCACTGTGTCTTTTGTGTGTGTGTGTGTGTGTGTGTGGGGGGGGATTCTCCCTCAATCTCCATGTCTGCTTGTGGTCTGCTTTGTGATGAGTCACGCTACCCTCTGTGTTCTTGTAAAGAGAAGTGAAACCTTCATCTGATCTAATAATAAAAAATAAAGGTGTTTGTTTTTTTGCACAAAGACCCACTTTGGCCTTCCGTCACACCCAGGCCTCTGGTCGACTTTGTCTGGAGGCTTTCCAGACTTCCTGTTTGTGGTCAAGCTCTGATCTTTTCTATTCCCAGATCATCAGCTACCTGAAAGCTGGCAAAGACTTGAAATATCATCAACATTTGAAGACATCAAAATTTAACCAGGAATGGACACTGCAAAATATCCCTTTTCAAAAACAAGGGGGAAAACAGTACAAAAATAGAGTATAATGTTCTTAAAATAAGAAAACTTATCTGCCAACAGAACAAGAAAATTTATCTTACCAAGATTTTCCAAAACAAGAAAAAAAAATACCTAACCAAGATGAATCTACAAATATCTTAAAATTAGTGTGTTTTACTTAAAACAAGCCAATTTTACTTGAACAAAAAAGATATTATTTTATGAAAAATATTCTCAAATCTCTTGGTGAGAAAAAGGATCTTGTTAGAAAAAAAAAAAACAAGCATAAATCTCCTTAATTTAAGATATTTAATCTTACTAAGTTTTTTGCAGTGTACCTTTTTAGAGTGTTTTTCAAGTAAAACTTTCAAATAGTGTAATACCTATGGAGGGCCAGATCCACTTTTTTCACTTCTGATACCGATATCTGAGGTTTAGTATTGGCGGTTACTGATCTGATACAAAAAACACTTAAAACGTTTTTTTTTTTGTTTGTTTGTTTTTTTCCCGCAGACATAAATGTACTTAATTACATTTTTTGTGACAACTCTCCATCAATACAGCACACATAAATACACCAGCTTGGTCAAACATGCAAAAACAACTTTGATTTGTTCAGTCAGTACAATCAACCATATAATAGCCAGTTGTAAAATAAACAATAGACTGACCGGTAACTCTTTATTTGATGGGTTGAGCATAAGACTGATATGACTCTGTTATACTGACATAACAATATAATATAAAGAAGTCATTGTGTTAATGGGGAAGCTAGCAACAGGCCCAGTGTGCTGCCGTCAACCAATCCCTGACAGCCTCTCTTCTCTCTCCTGCAGGATGCCGAGGCAGCTCTGGTGGTCCGTCGCCAATCTCAAACCTGGTGCTGGTGCATGTGTCTGGGGCTGGCCCTCATGCTGTCCGGGTGGTGGTGGTGGCAGGAGCCTACCTCTACCGCTACTACATCCTGGAGGTGAACACAAGTCATTATAGCGCTGCGGAAGTATCTCAAGTGAGGAAACAAAAAGATGTGGGATATTAGGTATTTTAGACAGAGTCATGTGTCTTTTCTTCACCACACAAGGTTTCCATAGAGTTTAGATGTTAGATCCAGTCATTGCTATATATCCTTGCTGGCTCTGGCGTCTTTATTTCCAGCGGTCATTGGGCGAGAGGTGGGGCGACACAAAGACACACAAACACACCCTAATGGCAATTTAGAGAGACCAATTAGCAGCCATGTTTTTGGTCTGAGGGATGAAGCCCGAGTGCCCAAAGAAAACGCCACGTAGGCTCAGGGTCGAAATGCCAACTCCATGAAGAAAGAAGCCAGGTCGGGATTCCAACCCAACATCAACAAAACACCAATGTGTGAATATGCAGGCAGACAGAAGGACTGAGTGACGAAACGACAACGATATCTGTTGGGATAGACACACGATCAACATTGACAGAAAACACTTCAAATAAGATGTTCTATAGTTTCACATTCAGAGCCGAACAACAATCTAGGGCAGGGGTGTCCAAACTTTTTGCAAAGGGGGCCAGATTTGGTGTGTTAAAAATATAGGGGGGCCAACCTTGGCGGACGTTCTTTACATATAACAGCAATTAATTTAAATACATTTCAGCGAGCTGTTGTGTGTTTCACATTTGCTTTTTTATTTTAATTTCAGCCATCTTAAGCATATGTTTTGGTTCATTTGAAACATACATATCAAAATTCAATTGACATTGAAAATTGAAATTAAATATTCATTTAACTTCACTTTTTTAACACTAACTTTTTTGTAATAGTTGAAGAGAAGTAATTGTACTCTTGGTGCAAATTACATTTGAAACATAAAAAAAAATCTCAAAATGGGAGTTTAATATTTACAGAATTTTTAAACACAATAACAGAGAAATTGTCATATCAACAAGTGCAGGGCTCATTTAAAATATGACAGTAACTATAATGTTGATTAGCACACCTCTCTCTCACTTGGCGACCCGGGGACAGGATGCTGCGCACTAGTGAAACGGTGAAAGGTTTGCAATGCTTTGCGATCAGCGCTGCTACCTCGTAACTAGCCTTTGTAGCATTCTCGTTTGACTCTCGAGCTTTTGTAAAATATTGCTGCTGTGAGATTAAGCTAGCTTCAAGGTGTTTCAGTTTCTCGCTGCGTTCATTACCTGTGATCTTGTCATGTGCCTCAGCATGTTTTGTTTAATAATGTCGCTTCACATTGAACTCTTTAAAAACAGCCACTGTCTCTTTACAAATGAGGCAAACACAGTTGTTACGTATTTCAATGAAGAAATAGTCCAATTTCCACCCATCCATGAACCGTCGGCCCTCGCAGTCAACTTTCCTCCTTTTGCTAATTGCCGCCATTTTAGAAAATTGGGGGGCCTCACATATTAATTTGCTGCTCCTATTTGAGCCTCTAGATGTCAGCACTTAGAACACGCAAGTAACAGCGCTGCTGCCCAATGTATTACACGCAGGCCAGGCGTTATTGATTCTATGACGGAGGCTGCGGGCCGGATGAAAATTGACCACGGGCCGCATTTGGCCCCCGGGCCGGACTTTGGACATGTCTGATCTAGGGGAATGTAGGCGAAGGAAAGGTTTAGCCACTCAACCTTCCACTGCTGGCTAGGAAAGGTGGGTGACATCAACTAACTCACTCACTCTTTTGTTGGCTAGCAACAATGTGCTATGTTTATAGTATAGGCCTGGAATGCCAGCAAGATCATGTACTTGTGGAAATTTCACACAACACACGAACAACATGTTTGCACGTTTAATAGGCGTCCAAATACTATACACCATGAATGTGTAAACAATGCAAAAAGTATGTGTTAACAGCACGTCAGCAAACTGTAAAATATGTGATGTTCTGTTTCAAAAGCGCATCTTGAACTAGAAACATTTTTATCCTGATGTGAACCCTAGACTGATGGACATGGACTGCACAAGCACACTTAGTGTTTACACAATCATCCTCTGTTTATGTGTCAAAATCTCAATATGTTTCTATAAATGTTCTTCTTTTTTTTTCCCCTTACCAAAGCCGGAAGACGAGGTCTTCTTCTGTGGTGTGAATTACCACGAGGAGGACTACATGGTCCCTGATGAGGAGGTTTGTGAAAAATTTATTTTCTCAATATTCACATGTCCTGAAGGTATTTAGTTTTTTTTCCTTTAGAAATAACTTTAAAAATTAGCTGCCAGGCAAAGCTTATTTCAAAGCGACCATGTTGAGTCCTGTACCGGTGTGGTTCCGCAGGCGGAGATGCCAAACAGGAACTTCCAGCGACTGCTGGAAGAGAAGATCAGGGTGCTGGAGCGGGAGCAGGTGGAGTTCATCAATGTGCCCGTGCCAGACTTCGAAGACGGAGACCCCGCTGATATCGTCCACGACTTTCAGAGGGTGAGGAACCTCACAACTCTGAGAGAACAGAACATTTGACAGAGGAGTGCTTAACGTGCCGTTTTTTTTTCATTTTTTGTTTTACCTCTCCCAGAGGCTGACCGCTTACCTGGATCTGAACCTGAACAAATGCTACGTCATCCCACTCAACACCTCCATCGTCATGCCTCCCAGAGATCTTTTGGATCTGCTCATCAAAGTCAAGGTAGCACAAGGTTTTCCTGTGACGCCTGGATTTCCTCAGAGGAAATCCAGGCTGATTTCCTCTCAGGGAACTCGACATGTGTTGTTGTTAGTTGCTCTGAATAAAAAACGATCTAATTTTTTGTGACATCGTAGCGTTTTCGAAACACCCTGACGTGTTGGAGCAGATATTCAGACAGCATTTTTTTCTCCCCTTAATGTAACATAAGGCCTGATGCAACATGTGCAAGTCCAAAGGAATGAATATGCCACATTATTCTTACAACACTCAAATAAAGTAATGGAAATATGTATTGCTGTTCTCCACGCACAACAAATTTAAAGGAAATGTGGCCTCCAAAAAAGAGTGGGTCCCAGAATGTAATGACTAATCTACGGCAGCTTGTTATGGCCATTGTAGAAAGGAGAAGAATAAAGGGGGATCATTTTCTGAAAAAATTTTCTTGAAAAAAAAATTTTGTTTGAAAAGTCAAAACATTTGCTAGAATAAAAACACAAATTTTGAGACCAATCTCAGAAATTTTTGAGAAAAAACCCCCAAAAATTCCGAGTTTGAAAAGTTGTAAATTTTTAGATTAATCTTAGGAATTTTTAAAAAGAAATCAAAAAAGATTTTGAGTTTGAAAAGTCAAAACATTTGCTTGAAAAAACTTCAATATTTTGAGATTAATCTCAAAATATTGAGAATATTTTTTTGTTTAAGATTGAAACATAAGAAGGAAGAATTATTAAAAAAGATAACCAGATTTCTCTGTGACAGAGATGTTTTTTTCCCCTCTGCCAGGCTGGCTCCTACCTCCCCCAGTCGTACCTGATCCACGAGGAGATGATGGTGACGGAGCGTCTTGAGAACGTCGACCAGCTTGGGTACTTCATCTACAACCTCTGCCACAACAAAGAAACCTTCAAGCTGCAGCGCAGAGACACAATTCTGGGTGTGTAGCTTTTCCATGTAACACCACAACACACACAGAACATATGAACATATAACTTCCGCATCTTAAAAATGTTCAAACTTGACAACCATACATTTGACTGTATTTTTTGGGGGGGAGGGTTTAACTGTTAAGTAGAAGGAAATTATAGTTTTCAACACGGTTTTGTGAACATCGCCGCCCTCGAGTGTTCATTAGAGAGATCTGGGTCCCAGCACCAGATTGTTGTGAACAAACAAATTAATTACCAAGCGCTGTTAGATAAAAATCACTCAGAACATTCATAAAATCTCAATGTATTATCTCCTAATAACTTTTCCCACCACATTTTACAACATAAAAGCACAAAACAATTTTTAATTTCAAATTTGTTTGGTGTTCCTGCTTCTTTTCAAAATAGTTACATCTCTCAGAGATTGGATAAAGGCATCCATCTTGCCCCCATTTTTCATTTTGATTTATGCTTGGCCTTTGACTAGGCCAGGGGTAGGCAACTCGAGGGCTGTTCTCCTGCAACTTTTAGATGTGTCTCCAATTCAACACACCTGACTCAAATAATGAGGTCATTAGCAGAACTCTGGAGAACTTGACTGCACTTCAGAGGTGATTCAGTTATTTGATTCAGCTGTGTTGGACCAGGGAGACGTCAAGAGTTGCAGGACACCGGCCCTCGAGGACCAGGATTGCCCACCCCGAGACTAGGCCATTATAACAAGCGAATGTACTTTGAGCAGAACTATTTCTAGCGTATGTTCTTCCAATTTTTCTCTTTTTTTCACACTTTTTACTAAGAACATGGCTTCTGAAGGCAATTGTGGTATTTTTATTTAAAGGTGTTATGAAAAAGGGGTTGAATTCTGAGGGAGGTCACAGTTGTTTGTGTCCACGAAGTTTTTCCTTACACTTAACATTATTTTTGCCAGTCAGAAATCCAAAGAAAACACATTCAAATTTGCGTTTATAATATTATTAGATGTAGAGAAAATTGAAGGCCTTTGAAATACGTTTTCCAAGGCGACTGCCTTTCCTTAGCAGAGGACCCAAAGTGCCGTTCACGCGACATAACGAAGAACCTTTATTCCGTCTCACAGGTATGCAGAAGCGCGAAGCTCTCAACTGCCACAAGATTCGTCACTTCGAGAACAAGTTTGTGGTGGAAACTTTGATCTGCGAGCCTTGAGACGCCTCGACCGAAGCTCTTAAAGTCGCAGGCGCCGGGCGAGATCGTGTTCTTCATCGTCACCTATCTGTTTTTCTGTTCTGCAATAAAGAGTTTTGAGCAAGAGAGAGGAGTGAAATGTGAAGCTGTGTGGTAAATATCTACTGAATGTTAATTAAAGTAAAAGCTTATTATTTTTTCTGTTTCTTTTTCTGCTTGGGAATCATCTAGGAAGCTATGATGCTTAGCCGAAAATCCACGTATAAATGATTTTAATCAAAACGTCTGCAGTAAATAGCAACCGTTCGCTTCTATAGATATGGGTGTTGTTTGCGGTTCTTTAAGTATAAAAATAAAAACCTTCGGAAACAGGGCATCCCACTGATTGTGGTTTTCGAACCTCGACAGACTAGAGAGACTTTTTTAAAAATGTTTGCTGTAGCTAACAACATGCTGCACCGATTGTCTGGAATGCATTCTCAATGGGGGATTACAGAACCATACTTTTTTATTGTTTTTGGGGTTTTTTTTAGCTCTAAAAACAACAGGCAAAAACTGGAAAGGGAAAATCCAGAGGAGGAAGGGCAAGCAGGAAGCACACTTATGTTAAAGTCTTTTTCAAATGTGTTTTTTTTTTAAGTTTCAGTTTTGATAACTTTTTTGTTTTGTTATTTTTCTTGTACTAAATTTGTGTATATAAGCTCTTCAATGAACTCATAAACCAAAAAATGGATTAAAAAAAAACAGCAGTCTGTGTTGTCTTTCATTCACTGTTATTGATTTAATGGCGGTTTAACTATAGTTCCTCTCAGCGTCACACGCGTTTTAACATGCTAAAATGTTGTATGGGTGCTGACACTGGATCAGCTGTCACCGCTCCTGTCATTTGATCGCAGTGGAAATTGATTTGTGATTAAAGTACCCCTGCAGCCCCACACACAGGAGGATCATGGGAAAAGAACCAGGCGTTAAGATGGAGGGGTCACCTTGAAAGTCCAGAGGACGGTTTCACATCACACTTATATTAGAAATTAGTTTTATTTTTTTATGTTTGAGACTTTAATGTTTATATTTACTCAAGGTAATCTTCTTTGATATTGCAAATGCACACCAAATAACTCTCAGTCGCGTTTAAAGAGACATTGTTTAACACTACAATTATTAAAAGGAACAGCATTCTAAGATGCTTAACAACGTTTGAAATCCACCCTTCTGAAGGGAACCGTGAGCTTCTACCTATGATGTGGGAAAACAACTACATCTCCCAGTGTTCTCCGCGGTACCTTCTCTTGCTCGCCGTACTGCAGCTTATATTTTTTTAGTTTTTTGGTCGAAAGACGGACGTTACTGTGACGTCTCGCGGCTCTTCAACTTGTTATCGCTCCTTTCCTCCCCCACCTCTCAGTCATGTTACTGTACTGCGACTGTGAAGTCCCAAACCCGTAGTAAACTTATTTCTTTAAAAACATTAAAAAGGAAGCCTCTCGTCCGGAGACAAGGAAAGTTTAGCTAGCTTGCTACTGTGTTGCCGTATCCATGGCAACGGACATGAACTTAATAGGGAACTCAGTTCAAGCTATTAGTATGATACACACACACACACACACACACACACATATATATATAATACATATACAATTGAAAGGGATAGGACGTGGAAGAATAAATACAAAAAGGGAATTAGAGAACTGGAAGGAAGTAGTTCAGAAGAAGAAAGGAAAGTTGTGAGGGAGGAATTTAAAATAATGTTAAAACTTAAGAACGAGGAAGAACATGGTAACATCAGCCCCATCGTGGTGTCAAGAGAAATTAAAAAGAAAAATTGGAGATGTTGAAATGGTAAAGATTTTGAGAGATGGACACCTATTGGTAGTTTTGTAAAAATGAAGAGCAAAAGAATGAGGCTTTAAATGTTGATAATATCTGTAAAAAACAAACAACAAACAAAAAACTATTGGAAAAAAAAATCATGGGAGAGAGTAAAATAATTAGATGAGTGATTTATGGGATCCCGCTAGATCACAGGTGTCAAGTCCAGTCCTCAAGAGCCGCTGTCCTGCAGTTTTTATATCGCCACAGGTACAAAACACTGGAATGAAATGGCTTAATTACCTCCTCATTGTACATCAGTTCTCCAGAGCTTTAATGACCTAATTACTCTATTCAGGTGTGGTGCAGCAGAGGCACATCTAAAAGCTGCAAGACCCCGGCCCTTGAGGACTGGAGTTTGACACCACTGCTAGACGAAGATCTTGATCAAATTAAGAGAAGTATTGTAGGAGCTTTTTGCTCTGACAATTATTATTGTCAAAAACAATAAATGGAGAAAAAGTAGGAAGTTTGTCAATCCTCAGTGAATTTGAAGAAAAAGAGTTGCCACAAAACATCAAAATAGGTTATCTCAGTTTTCAGGCAGGCCACCACTTTGTTGTTTAAAATGTCAAAGGTCACATATCAGCAGTTTGTAAAGCGATGCAGAGATGTCCAAAATGTGGTCAAGATATCGATAGACCATCACAAACCACACTCCATACCAGTATGGAGCATTAATGCTACTAAAGGTTTGTTGCCAACCGCCAGTAAATCCAAGAAGAAGGAGAAGAAGACAATCATAAATAAATATTTGAGGTATTATTTCTATTGTGGATTTAGCAAATAGAAATTATTTTGGTTGGGTCTTAAGTGGGCTGGCTTAGTTGATATTTTAACTGACCCAAAACCAAGAGAAGTGTGGTCTGATTTGACTGCAGACAGTGAGACAAAATGTAAATATGCTGTAGCTAACAGCTTGTTTCTGGCACAGCTGACGCCTGGCTGATAATCCTGTTGTGTGCGTGGCAGCATTTCCAGGCGTTATGAATGACTATGAGGTTATCCGGCAGATCGGAGAAGGTGCGTTTGGGAGAGCCTTACTCGTCAGAGACAAACGGGGAGATGGAGACGGGAACTGCGTGGTGAAGCAGATCAGCCTGAGGAAGGTACAGGAACAACAGCACACTGCCCGCAGACCAGTCTGCTCGGAAACCAGAAGTGGCACATGTCTACAGTGAACAACAGTTTGATAACACCCAAAACATAAGAAAGATCAAAATTACTGAATGAATTGTAATATCTACTTTAAAAATGAATGGACATTTCTCAGATTTTACAATAACATTTCTTATCAAATATCCCAAATTATATCAATATAATTAGGAATATTTTGTTTTCCTGATTGTCTTTGCAGTTTGAAATAAAACAAGTATTTATTTCAGATGTATTAAAGGGGCAGTACTAGGTGAAATTGACAAGTTTGAGCTTTCCGTCATCAAAAAATAACTTTAATTCTTTTGCGAATGTTTGAGAAGTCCTTTAATCTCCCGTGGCAACCATTCAGCTTGGAAGAATATGTGGGTACAGTTTCCAGGCTACCGATCTTCCACCTCACAAAGCCGTCCTCCTCACCCAGCTCCTTCAGACTAGCCAGCAGCAATTAGCAAACACCCAGTGGAACTGTGAATCTGCTGAGCTTATTATAGGAGCTACTTCTCAGTGGTTGGAGCACTGCTCAAAACGTTGTTGAAGGGATAATTGAGTAGGCCTGAAGGCGGAGTTACAAAAAGAGCAGAAGTTTTTAAAGAGACAGAGGCCCAATTTCAAGGCATTAAATTACAAAGTCAAATTTCTTTTTAAGTCATTTATATATATATATATATATATATATATATATATATATTATATATATATATATATATATATATATATATATATATATTATATATATATATATATATGGCAGTTTTATAACAACTGATGTTAAAAGTTACTTGACTATGCCATAAAACATCACTATATGCCTGCAAAACTCCTATTAAAATGCCTCACCTATGAAATATGTTGGAATCTAGAAACAAATGTCTCTACAATATAATAAAATCCAACCAGTTTGAAAAATCCCTCTTCATTCACTTTTAGGGCTGTCTCATTGACCATTATGTGTGTTTATTGTCCAGATGTCAGCGAAGGAGAAAGAAGCCTCTAAGAAAGAAGTGACTCTCCTGTCACAGATGAAACACCCAAACATCGTTTCTTTCATCAATACATTTCAAGGTCGGAGCAGATCTTCCTTCCAGAGCATTTTTCAGGCCCACTGATCCACAATTCAGCCATATATGTTTCGTATCTCTAGTAGATTTAGGTGTGAAGCAACATTTATGCTCCCGTCACATTGTTTTACTATCTTTGAGATGACTGTCATTTCCTGTCAGAAACGAACCACTTGGAAAACTTTTCTGTGTGCAGAGAAGGGCAGTCTGTACATAGTGATGGAGTACTGCGATGGAGGAGATCTGCTGAAGAAGATCAACATGCAGAGAGGAATTCCCTTCTCTGAGGCCCAGGTAGCTGAAATCTGAGCCTGGATGTTACAAGAGGCCGGGCTCCCTGTCAGACGGAGGAGGAAAAAAAGTGAACTTTTTGTTTCTCAGATTGTGGACTGGTTCATCCAGATCTGCCTGGGCCTCAAGCACATCCACGACCGGAAGATTCTTCACAGAGACATCAAATCTCAGGTGAAACACCCTAAAAGAAAGACTAAAAATAAAACTAAAGATTACTGAAACACTTTTTTTTTTTAACTTTGCATCACTCTTTTTCTATCAGACAAACAAACAGGTTTTAGCTTTGTAGGGATATTTTTCTGAGTGAATCTGCTGAACTTACAAAGATAAAACCATGTTTTTATCGTCTATTTGAACTGCCTCACTCACAGGAAGGTCAATAAAATGGTCAAATTAAAGTTTATTTGCATAATTTTAAAAAAGTTTATTTCAGCATGACACAACAATCTTTTTATTATTTACAAAGTTTCATTGAAGTTCCACTGTGGATTTGAAACAGTTTGGACTCAATTTGTTTTTCCAGTGACTAAAACTGTTTTAGGATCTTTTCTGAAAATTTCACAGCTGTCATTTTGTATTTCTTATTTAGTCTTTTAATTCTCAGATATTTTAAACCTTTACACTTTTATTACATCCACAAACTACAGTCTATGTATCGGGATTTTATATGGTGAATCAAAAGAAAGAAGTGAAAAGTGATTAATTTAGGAAAATTAACACATTGTTTTCAATTTGCCTTTATAAATGATACTCTGAAAACTCACTTGCATTCTGTCTTCATATTATCCCGCATCACACCATACTCATGTTAAAACATGGTAATGGCAGCATCATGTTGAACAATCTGAGCTGATGAAAAAATGAAAGAAGGGGATTTGACATAACCTGATGACATCATTCCATATGTTGATTTGCACACTCTGAACTTATTGTCCCATTTTACAGTTGCTTAATTCCTTCTAATTCAAATTTATCGAGCTCAAGAAAAAATGTCTGATGTAGGAAAAACTCGAGGGGGAAAAAAACAGTTACATTTTTTGTGGTGTTTTGGAAAAGATCATTTGCGCAGTATTTATTGCTGTGTGTCTATAAACGTTGTCAACATCTTGTCTCTGGGGTGAAGCTCATTAATTAACAAGCATTATCATTACAAAGCTCTTTAATTGCACAACAGAACCGTCCTGAGGTCAGTCCTGCTCTGAACAAAGACCTCTGTGTGTGCCAGCTCCTAGAATAACTCAGCAAGATGACAACACACTGCATTTCTGTTCACAGCCATCTCTCTGTTTCATCAGTCGTATCAGTTTACACACGCAAACACACACACAAATCTGTTTTCATTCCTGCACTCTCTCTCTTGCCTAGAATATCTTCCTAACCAGTGGAGGGATGAAAGTAAAGCTGGGGGACTTTGGTATCGCAAGAATTTTGAATAAGTAAGTCGAGTGTGATCCTCACACACACGAAGCGGCTGCTTGTCGGCAAGTCCACCGTAAGTCATGGAGGAGCTCCAAACAACTGATTAGCATTCCTCAAACTGTCAACTCGGACAAGTAAACACAAGGGTGTGGAAATGGTAGCCGGCTGGTGGCATTTGATTGCAACAGTTGGTTCAATGGTACGATAAAGTGTGATTATTGTCTATAGTGTACAGAAGAAAAAGCTTCTTCATTTTTTGTGACTTTGATTACATAGAGAGATGTAGAAGGCAGAAAAGGAAGGCGTTCTGTTTTGGAGTGACTGTCGTACTTCTACATGCCGCAAGAAAAGGAGGAATTTTGTAGATATGAATTATTAAAGAGGGACAGGACAGCAAACCTTCTTGTCAAGCACTGGAAAAACAAAACTCTTACCAAGTATTTCTGATCTGATTTCTGGCACAAAGATATTAATACACTTGAAATGAAATGATTCTACTTTTAACTTTTTCATCACTATCACCAAATTATTGACTGAAAACGAGCTTCGGTATCTTGCTGAAAAGTTACTTGTAAGTTAGTTTTGCCTTATTTCAAATGTACTAAGAGATGTTCACTTGAAATGAGACCAAAAATATTTGGTCAGATTTTATGTTTTTGCAGTGTAGCTCCTCAAACTAGATTTGGCTCTGAAAATATACTTTACACCAGGAGTTTTTCACTTTATGGTCTAAAGAGTAATTTCTGCTCTCAAGGCAGCCAAATAAAACTTGTTTTTAGATTAAAAACAAATTATTTATAATGGTAATCTCTCTGAAATTTGTCATCATCTTTAAAGAACCTCTGTTTTATTTCTATTCTATGATTTATAAAGACAAACATAAAATGTAACCAAAAGAGGACGAGAATTGATGAAAAAGCACATAATTTCCCACAAAGTGATGTGAAAACGTATTCATGACACTTTTAGTGTCACACTAGAAATGCAATGCACATACAGCAGGGAAAAAATGAAAAACAAAAAAAACAAACAAACTGGTATTAATCTGAATTTGTTGTTATATATACACTTAAAAATCTAAGTTCTTTTTAGCTAAAGACAAGAGCTAAAAGGTCCAAAAATTCTTAAAGCTCATATTTTAAAACTAGCCAGTCTTTCTTTTATCCAGTTTGTCTCTGTATAGAGGTGTAACTGAGGGTGGGCTGATTGTTATTTATTTTATTTTTTCTGTTTAGCACTCTGGAGATGGCCAGGACTTGTGTCGGGACGCCATACTACCTCTCACCAGAGATCTGCGAGAGTCGGCCCTACAACAACAAAACGTACGTACAAAACTGACTACAGGATGAGTGCAGCCTTTTATCTGGAGATCCTGGTGGAGAATGTGGAGTCAGCAGCCCAGAAATTCTTTCGTGTTTAGTCGTTCCGACCTGACAGCGATCTAAGATACGGCAGGAGACACTGAAAATGATCGCCTCACCTTAGTGTCACTGAGATTCTCTGAGTTTTATCTTACCCGTTAACTCTGCCCTCACTGTACCGTCTGCCATTTTTACTTTCTGTTTTTTTTTTTACCTTGGAGTGGATCTACATGCTGCGGCCTGCCTGTCACGTTGCTGCTGGTTCAAGAGAATTTGCATACTAAGGGCCAACAAATGTTCCTGTAGAGAATTACAACCAGGTCAATGATTAATATGAAATATGAAAGCCAACACACCAGAAACACTTCTGTGGGGTTTTACATTTGTATTCAGGGTTTTTTGTTTTTTACTATTATTAAACTTGTTAATGACATCAACTTCACAGAAAGTTTACTATCTTGTCGGAATCTGTGGGCTGTTCTTCAGTAGTTCGGAGAAAATAATTAATGTTTCACCAAGCGCTACGTTTCCATTGAAATAGCCGTGAAATAAAATTCCTCACAATGAGGGCGGAGTTGTTTGAAGTCCGTCCAAAATTTCTGCTGCCTTGTGATGACTACAGCGGGCCTGGACAGGGGCGCCACATGGGTGGAGCTCTGGCCCTGACTGAGTGTGTTGGTTGTCATGTCTGTCTCTGTTGGACGATCATGTGTGAGCGCAGTAATGAGGCCTGGTTGTGTAATCATGTCATTATGACCCAGTAGAGCAGCAGTCCACCCAGAGGGGGTTTCATCCTGACAGCGAGTGCAGACACATACAGAGGAACACACTTTCTGTCTGTTCATATCTAGATTGTCTGATCTGAACATCTCACACTGGGATAAACTGAATATCTTCAGCCTTCATCTGTTCAGTCTATATAACACTTATAAATTACTTCTATTTGACCTTGGTTTGAAGCTCGTTGGTTGAAGTTGGAGAGTTGATTGACTGCAACAGTTATTATTTCTTGTTTGTGTGTTTCAAATCAAATAAACTGTCTGTCTCTGTTATTTCATCCGCTCTCTTCTGTTCCCGTTTTGTGAACCTGAGGTCAAACTGACTTCCTCTTCTTTCTACTCGAGACTCTTAGCAGCGACATTTTGAGGTGGATATAATCCTGACCCTTTCGAACCGTTTACCTTCATCCTCTTCTCAAAACGTCAACGTACAGTGAAGATCTGTCAGATACTTGACTGAGCCAGAAAAAACAAATACCTGAAGACAGTTATCTTCCCTCTGTTGGCTGTCTAATGTCATTGCATTTAACTTTGTTTTCTCCCTCCAGGTTTATGACTTTGGCTGAAGGGTGTGAGATGATGACAAACCGCATGCTTTTTCAACAGGTGGCGTGTAAGATGTACTTAGCAGGGAGGATGTTTGTGAAATGGTGTAATTAAAACCAGGGAGAGTTTCAGTAAAATTGACTGAGGTTGATAAATATTTCCTTTTGCTTATGTTTTTGCTTCTGCAGAGATATCTGGTCTCTCGCTTGTGTCCTCTATGAACTCTGCACCCTGAGGCATCCAGTGAGCTCTGCCACACCGGCAAACGCTTTGTTACCCTCACCACTTCATAAACGCTAAGCTAACACTGCCATCGTCCATCCATCTATAAAAACACAAAGTCAAATTTCTTTTAAGTCATATTTGATACATATAGCATTTTTCTTACAACTTAATGTAACATAGTTACTTGACTGGTTTAAAATTACATTATGTTGACTATTGCCTCTTTAAAAATGTATTTGTTGTTAAATTAATTGAATGTTAGCATCTTTTTGTCCCAGTCTTATTTACTAATTGTGGTCTCCTCTAACAGTTCGAGGGCAACAGCCTGAGGCAGCTGGTCAGCAAGATCTGCAGAGGCCACTACGCACCTGTCCCAGCCGCTACTCCCACGACCTTCGCCTGCTGCTTACCCAGCTCTTCAAGGTCGGACACACTCTTGACTCTTGTCTCTTTTGTTGCAGCGTTTACGTAACACGACAGGAACAAGTGAAGTCACACAGCAGGTACAAACAAGAATCAGGTCTTGACAGGGTGTCAGTGGATCAGACTTGGTTATCAGGTTGAAAATGACTCATCATACAGAAGTGATACTTCAGTCAGTAGTAAAAAGTGTTTGCTACTAGGCCTATTTCTTTTCTTTTTGCTTCAGTAGCCTATTTTATATAATTCCCTTTGGCAGGTCTTAGTTAACTCTTTCACAACATTTTTAGAAGATAAGAATAATTTAGAACTTCAGCTTATTTTAACGTTAAGCATACAAGACACCAGAACTTTAGTTGCGAAAAAGCTTTAACAATGACGTTTTTGTTTTCTGTTTGAGATTTTTGAGTTTTCGCAGTTTTTCCTGTTTCTTTTCCCAACTGAACGGAGGCGTTCCATTTGGACCCGACATTCCTAGAGAATTCAGGAAGTGAGAATTTCACAGAGACTATGAAGCCGATTTCATGACTTGAATAAAAGCCAGCACAATTTGCTGTGCAATTCAGGGATCAAAGAGCCTGTAATATGGGATTATAGTTGTTCTCTCTTGAAAGGCCATTGGCAGCAGCAGGTCGGATTAATTTATAATCACTTGGTGTAAATGACAGAATGTCACAAACGGTTTAAGCAGCTGTTTATTATCCTGAGCTTCTTGTGATTCTATAGAGTCTCTATTGTCCTCTGGAGACATCGCTCTTAGAAATACACATTTCTTAGTATCTCTAAAAAAAAAATCACGTTTTTCTTTGTCGGTGTACTCTAAAACCGCTGCATTAAAAACAACCAAATTTAGATTATTTTTGATAACTTTTTTGCGTTACGTGTTACCAATCCAGCTCTGGATTGACTCAACATATCACAGTTGAGTTGTGGGTTTAACCTGGTATGCAGAATTAGGTTTTTATCCTAAACTATGGATCAAAAGGACTTAATGTCAAATATTAAGGCTGCCAATGAGAATAAACCTTGACCTGGATTATTAAATTACGAATATTTGCCAATGAATAAATAATTTTTATTGATCCAGACAAAAACCCTCTAAAGATTAATATTGGGAAAATTTGTATAAAATGTATAAAATATCAACTTTTTGACCAGTTCTTTGGTCAAAGTGTGATGCTTGAATATTGCTAGAACAAGCTGCTATGCTATCCTAATCAATAACAAGCAAACAGCTAATGGTAGCTTTAGAGAATGACCTGCTGTATAGTAGCTAAGGTGATAAATCTTTATTATCAACCCACTAACTTTATTATTATTAAACACAATCATTTTTGTCATCTTATAATTAATTCTGTTAGAGGTCCTGATGAGGTAGTTGTCTCTTCTCTCGCACAATAAACCGACTCAGAACTTTTGAACATAAATTAAATACATAAAATCTGTCCCAGGTGTTAATTTAATAGTTCAGTGAAATAGATATTGTGGGACATACTCGAAAATGTATCACATTTGTAAAACAGTTTTTTTATTTTTGTTTGTTTATTTTTTTCAGGTCAACCCTCGAGAGCGACCCTCAGTGAGCTCAATCCTCCGACGTCCATTTTTAGAAAAACACGTCAGTAAACACATCAGCATTCAGGTAATGGGTCACCTATTTAAACCGTCATGTTGGTGAAAGGATGTACATGATAAATGGTAGCCTTGCTGAAAAAGATATACAAATCAGGGGTAAAAATAAGACTCTTTAAAAACATAATTTTAATGAAACCATAAATAGATTAGATAGACAGAGCGCCAGTACAAAGCAAAACGTTACTTTATTCTCTGTGATAGACCAATTTCAGCTCCATTAGTTGTCCATAATAGTGCAGTAGAAGAAAAAACAAACAAAACAAAAAATTGTATTTTTGTTTTGAAATATGTAAATTATATTCATGTCCACTGACACTTTGTAGAGTCACGTTAGATTGCAGTTACAGCTGCAAGACTCTACCAACTTTCCAGGCTGATATTTTTGTGTTTTCCCCCACTCTGTCCTGAACCAAGCTCCAGCTCAGTCAGATGGGATGCAGAACGTCTGTGTACATCATCTATTGCCACAGATTGTCAATTGGATTTTATTGTCATATGATGGATTAAATGGATATCCATGAGATGTCTAAAGCTTAGGATGTTTTATAACCTAATTCTGCTTTAAAAGTCTGCAAAACGTCAACTGACGTGTCTGCTGCATTCCTTGGTCTTTATTATGCCGTTTGTTTTCTGATTTTCTATAAAAGAAAAAAGCTCCAATGCCTCTACAGAACACAGCAAAGAGTTAAGACACTTGTTTTGCTTCTCATGAAACCTGTCAAATTATTATTGGCTTTCATAAGCAGTGATGTAAAATATGAGCTGTCGGTGTAGTTATGTATGCGTGTGGTTTTCTGTGTTTGCAGACGATGCAGGGGGATTTAAACCACGCGGCTTCCCATCGAAACGGAGCAGCAGCTGCATCAGATGCTGCTAAAATAAGAACAAGGCCGTCAGGTAACGCAGCACAAAGCACCAAGTGAAAACTCATCGACTGTGTGTGTTTTTTATTTTTTCAAACAAGAGTGTGTTGACCTCTGATAATGTCATTGTTACTCTCCTAGATGGCTCTTTGTGATTTTGGCAGAAATAGACCATTTTGAAAACATTCAGGCTACATTTAACATGAAATCCACTATTAATGATACAGTAGTTAGTATCATGAAAAACCTAACTGTGCATTGCAAAAACACAAATTCTTACCAAGAAACTTTCCAAAATCATAAAAAATAAAAATAAAAAAACTTGGAGACATTTGCAATTAATCTCAGAATTTCTGATTTTTTTTTTCTAGCAAATGTTTTACTTTCTGAGCTCAGAAATGTTTATGGTGGGAATTCACTCCTTTTTTTTCTATCTATAGTGATCCTAATTCATTGCAATGGAACATCAATATGTCTTATTTTTAACAAACAGCATATATAAAAACTGAGACCAAAACAAAGCCTTTTTCTTCTCCGCTGTTGTCCAGAGAAATGCAGAAGGCGAGAGCAGCAAAGCGACCTGGGGCAGCAGGCAGGAAACCCGCTACTAAACCGGACCACAGAGCGCCGTTCAGACTGATCACCACTCCCTACAAAGTACGCCTGAAGCAGCATCATACACCCTGTTTTCGATCCAGTATTTGGGTTTTCCGTTTTTCTGCTGGTTTAACTTTGTATTTATGTACTATTGCAGCCTCTTCATCAAAAAGCAGCTAAACCAGCTGCAGACGGAGCATCTGCAGGGTTCCAGAAGTGGGTAGTAAAAACCTCCTCAAAACTAGTTTGCGTGTTTCCAGTAACTGTAAAAAAAACCCTCAAATTGTTAGTACAGTTTTTGTAATAGGATGATGGGGTTTTTCAGTCATATTGAAACAAATCTATTTCAATACATCTATTAGAAAATCTTTTCTCATTACCACTTGGATGTGTTTACATCTGTGTCCACTATGATTTTTAATGACTTATCATGTGTGGTTTTAATCACATTTTTGATTTAACAAGAACACTGCAATTGCAAAATTGTCTTTGGTTCAAGTGGAATATCAAAAACATTTGCAATAGAAACGCAAACCTTGTCTCATGTGTTAGCTATGTAAAGTGTTAGTGAATGATTATCGCCTAATAGTTTGATTATGGTTAACCTCGAAGAAGTTTGAGAAACTAAAAGAATATTTTTATATATGATGGCAATATTTGGACCATAGCAGATAGAAAAAAAGGAGTACATAGCTGGCAAAAACTCAGAAATTTTGAGTTTAATCTACAAAATACTTAAAGAAATTCTTGCAAATTTCTGATATCAATCCATAAAAAAGGTGTTGGAAATGTGCTTCTTTTATCTACCAACAGAGATATAGCAATGAAGGATGTTATATTTTTGAGAAGTTTTCTTCGACAATTGGAAAAGATTAAAAAATTACTCTTTGAAGAGAGTGGTTTCTGTCACAATCCAGTCATTCTCTTAAACGTCTGAGATGAATATGTTGTTCTTCTAGCTACAGGTTGGATGGGAGGCAGACTGGCAGCCATTACCTGCACTATTATGCCCAGCTGGATGTCATTCAGAGGAGGAATCAGGACATTCCTGCTGCTGTTGCTCCACCTTTAGCTCCTGATCCTGCGGCTCTGGAGCAAGTCTCAGATGTGAACCTCCAGTTCTGGGAACAAGATGGTCCGCTTGTGGAACCATACCAGCTGTGGGTGGCACAAACAAGCAGCACATTTCTATAAAAGATCAACAAAAATATCCAAAATGTTTTTACAACTTTCTGTTAAGAAACTGATTCATCTGAGGTAATATTTGCATCAAATCCAGATTTGCTCAAATTAGCCACAATTTTATGTCTAGCAGGAATAAATTGGTTCTAAACTTTTTCACTGCTTGTGGAAAGCGTTGGTGAGTTTTACCTTGTTCCCATTACCACGGTAACGTTGTGCTCACCTTCACCTGTTGTGTCCGTCAGTGTGGCTGCAGCTCGTAACGAGTACCTGCAGAGGAAACATGAGGCCAACCAGTACAAACTGAGAGCAGAAAAACAGCTGGTAAGACCAAACCCCGTACCATCAGGGTGACTTAAACCCTGACCGTAAGCCTCTGCAGTGAGTTTGTTTGATCTAATAATGTCTCCAATTTTGACATTTTGGATAAAATTCAGAACTACTTTCAGGAAGCATAGTGAACACTAATATTAGGCCATCAATTACTATAATGGATGGATTTAGATGTATGCATAAATATGACAGTTGATGATGATGATTAATAAATAAATGTTATCAGGAAGTGAATCTTTCAGATAAAGAACATCTGTAGCGTTTTATTACATTGTTCAAAACACATTTTACATGGAACCAAACATCAAGGAATAAAAGCCATTTTGTGAAATGTCTAAAACTGTACGTTATTACATTAGGATAGATTAATTACTTTTGCTGTGACACCATCCTCTAATTTTATTTCCGTATATTAATGAGTGCCTAAATATCTAGAGCTGAACATTCAAGTCTCCATACACAGCTTATGACTGCCCCCAAGTGGTAAAATAATTATTAGCTGAAGTATTGTAATCTGGAAATGGGTCTCCATTTCAAGCACTTGGTATGCCGATGTGAGTGAATCTTCAGTTCAGTTTGTGCAGTTTAAAATACTGTAGTTTGTGAACATTAGAAATAGTTCTGGGTATGAAAATATTATTTGGCCTCAGAAAGAGAAAAAAATAGAGTGGAATAGAATATTTGTTATTGTAGAAGTACGTGGAAATCCTTCAGAGCTGAACAAGAACTGAACCGTTTGGTTAAGAACATGATTTTAACTGATAAAGAGTTGGTACTGAAGAATCTAGATGTATAATAAGTTGTCATAAATATGTGTTACATTCATGTGAAAATAAAACTTTCACATGAACATCATTAAAATAAGTGCAACTTAAAACTGGCATCATTAAATCAAGAATCATATGTAGAAAAGGGACAAATATTGTCAACTTCACGCTTATTTAAATACTATTTACTCTATCTAAAGAACTTTTCTCAGTTGACTTCTTGTCTTGGTGACTTTTCTACTATTTCCAGGGTCTGCGGCCGTGTACAGCTGAGAGCGAAAGGAAGCCAGGCGACCAGGAGCAGGAAGCTGGACTACCTGACAAGCAGCACTTTCCTCAGGACAGAAAACATGAGGGACAGCAGGTGAGACACCAAACAAACAACTGCATCAATGTGTAAAATGATCAAAAATAAGTTTTCCAAATATCTAAAATGAAATGTATGTGTGTGTGTGTGTAGGAGTATCTGCGTCAGCTGGATCTCATCAGGCAGCAGTATCATCAGGAGGTGAGACAGATGAGACAGAAAGCTGAATCAGAGGTATGCAAATTAGATTATATCATTTATAGTGTATTTATACAAAGAGTTTGTGTAATATGCACTGACATATTCAATAAATTAATATGTGTTCCAATTTGTCAGATTAAAGACACCTGTTGAAAAATAACATTTTTGTAGGAATTAAACATTCATTCATTAAACATTCATTAAGCCCAGTTTGTTTTTTATTTTATTTTTTCTTATTAAATATATATTTTTGTTGATCTTGTGGTATTTTAGCTGTAAGTAGAACATAATCATAATCATTTTAAAACGTCATTCTGAGTGGAATTAATCTGTATCATGATGATTCACATAATTATGGAGTCACTCAAATACATGGACTTTTTCAACAATATTTCTATTCATAGAATTTCTAACATATAAATGACCCATAAGTTTGTAAACACTAGATGTTAGGCATATTTAAAATTACAACAGCAGAACATTCGGAGGATTTTTCAGATGCCAGAATAAATCCAGATAGTTTTGCAAATGCCTTGTTCAAAACGAGCTCTGCTGAAACATACATAAATGTTTTTTTTGTTTGCTTGTTTGTGGTTCAAAAGGTAAACGATGTGAACTTTTTGAGACGTCTAACACCCGGTTCTTTCACACAGTCTCTGCTCAGCATCTAAACCACAGGGGAGAAGGTTTGGGTTTGGGTTTGGCTGCATGTTTGATGCAGCAGCTGTGTGCGATGAAGCTGCATCTCTAAAGCTCACAAGGCACCTCAAGTTTTATCTGTAACAGAATTAACAGCAGCGGCTTTATGCATGTGTCTGGACTCAGCCACAAGACAAACGGAGAACCTTTGTGGTGGAAAAAGCACGAGACCCGGAGCCCGCCTCGGATGCTGAAGAACAGCAGAAAGAAACACCTGCTCAGGTACGAAGAACCACAGAAAAACAGAAAGAAACCTCTGGAAATAAAGGAAAATAAATATCAAGAATGTAGTGTTGAAGTGAGTTTGATATTTACATGACTTGAGCTTGGAAATTAGTGTCAAACTTGTGCTGAATAGTATTTTAGGAAAGTGGACAGTTAAAGCCAGATATTTTCATACACTGAATCAAAAGACTTTCAAGTCAAATCAGACCAAACTTTTCTTGCTTTAGCTTCGAGTTACCAAAATTATGTCTGTTTCCTAAATGCTAGAAAACTTAGTGAGAACATTCTTTTTTTTTTTCCCCTCAAATTCAAGTTTCCATACATTTGTATCAGAGATACTGACCAGGAATGAGTGACTTAACTTCACAGCTTTGCACATAAAATTCCCCCCGAAACAAACCGAGGTTTGTTTTGTCAGATGTAAGACAACCAAAGTTGACAGATTTGAAATTATTGAATGATCAAATCAAGTTTATTTATGTTTAATAAACTTAATTTGATTAACTTTTTTTTTTCCAAGTTGGCTCACCTGTCTTTCAGTGTATGGAATGTTTCACCTGAGCTTTTAGGCCTTTATAGCTACACTGTGATCAGACGTGTTGTATCTGTTCTTTTGGTTTGAAGCTGTATCTATTCATAAAGAAATGTTGTCAAATCCTACATATTTGTTGTTAAGTCAACCAGGTTACAGAGTTTTTCCTTCCCGCTGCAGGACATGGATGCAGTTGTGAGGCAGACTGGAGAAGAAAACGAGGGAAATTCTCAGAAAAAAAACAAAGATAAGGTGAGGTTCTGTCTGCTGAACCTAAAAAAAAAAAAGCTTCATTTTGATTCAAATACTGAAACACAATATGTAACACCTTCTGAAAATCTCAGCTGGTGTTTAAAAGGAATATTTCAAACATGGCAGTGATATATGAGTAAAGACAATGAGGTGAGACTTTTGAAAATAATGAACAGCATTTAAATCGTTTGGGACCTGCAGAAGGGAATCATGTTTGAAATCCGGCTGGATGAAGAAGAAAAAGAAGAAAAGGCAAAGGAGGAGAGGAAAAATGAAGAGAAGCAGGTAGAAGAATTGAAACAAAGTCATTTTCGCTGCATGGCTTCAGTTTTCTTCTTCTCCTCTCACCAAACAGGAAGTGGACCCTCTCAATCGTACGCTAAGCTTCCAGGAAGGGGAGGCGCTAAAGCTCAAAGACTGGTCAAAGGAGAGAAAGGGGTGGAGCCAAAGGACCCCTCAGACTCTCCTGGACGCCCTGGCCAACATGGACGTCAACTCTCCCTGCAGCACAGCGACTGAGCCTTCAGAAGGTGCAGCACCCACAACAAATGAAGTATCCCATGTATTTTTTTAAAGCTCCACATAGCTGACACGTCTCCCCCTGCTGGCCCTCCAACAGGTCGCAGGCGGTGGACCAGCCGTCCCCCAGCTCCCTGCTGAACGCTCTGGCTCAGGCTGAACTCACACCAAGTCTGGACACAGGTCAGGTCAAAACACCAACAGCAAGAAACTGAAGGCTGAAGAGATTCGCTGAACATGGAACGCTGAACTGTTTGTCCTCTGTGAAGCATTAGATGCTGCGCATGGAGAGGAGAAGGGAAGACAAGGAGAAGAGGAAGAGGAGGAAGAGGATTCGGACATAGAGATGGATGAAGAGCGTCTGGAGTCGAGGTCTGATGATGATGACACGTGAGTTCACGCTTTAACTGCACTCTGAACGCAGTATGGTACAAAACTACACATTTAAAATAAAAAAGAGAAAGCAAATACAAATTAAAGGTCACCTTAAGGCTGAACAATAAACATGTTTATTACATACATGTTTATCTCATTATATTAAAAAAATATATAATGAGATTTCAGTTCTGGCTATTTTGAGCTCCTGTCAGAATGAGCAGTTTTTGGGCTCTGCCACTTTAAATCCTGCTTGCCACGCCCCCCAACAGATGCTCAGTTATACAGCCCTGTGTCTTTGAAAAATATTAGTAGAGCGTCTTGCACAATCAACAAAGATGCACTCAGCATTTTCATAACAACTAAGGTGACGTAGTTACTTGATTATGCTATAAATTAGTCAATGTGCCTGAAAAATTCATTTGAATCTTTAAATGTAGATAAATATAGGACTGATGTGTTTATCTTCAGGAATTTTGAGGAGTCGGAGGACGAGCTGAGAGACGCCGTGGCGGACTCCATGAGGAACCTTTACGTCATGGAGGACTCGAGCTCTGGAGAAAACACTTCGGAGGAGGGAGAAGAAGCAGAGAGGAAGGACGGAGGAGCAGATGGCTCTTCAGGTCATCAGCAAGCCCAAGTAGAGGTCAGCAGTTCAGGGTCTGAAGGTTCACCAAGCGGATGTTTCTAGTAAATCTGAAGAGTCGCAGACGGACAAGAGTGCAGCTTTAGATAAGCATCAGGCTGATTCAGTGGTTTGTTAGCAGATGAATGAACTGCCTTAAAACGTGTGAAAGTGTTCACTCTGAAGTTTACAAAGGGAGTGTCTGCAGTGGTGTGACTCACAAAGCCTCATCTATATATTCATGTTATACACCTGGACTAAAATAGTTGGCAAGCCTGATTTTAAGTGCACAATAATATAAATGTAATTTTAAGAATGTAAAAAAATCTTTATTTACTAAAAAAAAAAGCATGAAAAAAAAAACGTGTGGCCTACCTGTCACTAAGTTTTCAACATCACCTCTGATACCAAAACACAAAGGGAAACACTGAATGTAACCATGATCATCAGTCACAGATTGTGAAATATACATCTACATTTAATGTGCGGCACTTTTCAAGTTAATTTTGACAAATATTGTTTGAGAGAAAATCAATGGTCACCTTTCAGGGGAATATATAATCAATTTTACAACTTTTCACTTGTGTTTGGACTTGTACCTCATACTTGTTGTATTCATGTGTATGTTCAAGGTTGAGGAACATGTAAACATGCATCTTTTTTTTGTTATTCTAAGGCAACCAGCAGAACACAACAGTGACAAAAGGAAAATACAATTAGCATTTGACCGGTACTGTTCCTTTAATGCACACAGGCAGTAGCATTCCTGTTTCTTCCAGCAGTAACATCTCTGGAATACTTTATGCTAGCAAGTTGTTCAAAGGTTATGCAAAACGATCAGCAGTGAATGGAAGCAGCCAAAAGTCTCACTTTTATTCACATAATCAGTTTCATATTTTACTTGTGATGTTTTAGTTGCAGTAAAGTAATTTAGTTATTTTTCCAAGGACATAAGTCATCACAAACTCTAAATATAGTGCACTGTGAGACACTCACCACAAGGGCAGCACACAAGATATTATCAGCTGCATCTTTTTGCTTTTATTGTGTATTATTCAAGTGTAATTTCCATTTCTCTAGGAATCTAAACATTCTCTATACACAGGCTTAAACAGTATCAATGCCTCTTTAAAGAAGAGGGTTTGTAATACACCTTTTATTACATCATCATGCCCATCAAACACAGGAATGCAGGAGGAGCAACAACATTCAGACAAGGTAGATTTGGCCGTCACCTCAGCTAAACCTTCATATTAATATAACTATAGAGATTACATGAAGCATCAATCTTAACTTAACCTCTAATGACAGAAAAATCATATTTAAATACCCATTTCTTTTTTTTAGAAGTCAGAAAAAAATAATTCTCTTCAAAATCATGTCAGCAGCAACAGTATAACCCAGAACGAAACTCAAAAAAAGCTACGTTTTGCAGTTCCTAGAATTCTCCCCAGATTAGTTGACAGTGAGTCTAATCTAAGTCCAGCTTAGTAAAAGAAGAAACACTGGAAGCAAAGGGGGAAACTAAACACCTCGTTGCTTAAACCAATCAGTCTGACCTTCATCCTGAAGTCAAGATGTGTGAGAACCAGATGACTGACCAATTAAACAACCTCAAAAACTTTCATTCATCTATCAGAGTCAAGTATCAAGATGATCCCCTTTAAATTTGACCATAAACATTTATCAGTTTACACTTACAAAGATTTTCCTGAAACCTGGACTATCAGTTCAGAAAACACACGTCCACATATGGACCTGGAACACGCCGTCATTCATACGACCCACAAGGTATTTTTACATATTAGCATCGGTTGCTGGGAATGTTCAGGTTTTTTTCTCCTCAGTCTGTACAGAGTGGAGAATTTTATCTGGTTTTAAATCTGGAGGGCAGGCAGAGATTTCAGTTATAAATTTCTTATTTCCTGGTAAGTACGCTAATAATGAGGCACTGTGTTGCGCTTTAACAGTTAGCTTGTTTGAAACAGACATAAGATCACTGCCCAGTGATATTAGTGGAAGTTACAAAGTCTGAAGTAGGAAAAGATTTTCAAAAAGACAAGAGAAAGGAAGTGACTCAGATCACTTGGCGCATTCTTCCTCTCCTGTTTTCGAATACCAGCCTGCTAGCTTCCTGTACAGACAGCCGTCTCTAGCCGTCTCTAGTCCCAGTGCGGTTCGCCCTCACCGCACCATCTGATTCATCAGCGCCTCCGTCGCGGCGAGGAAACAAGCTTCAAACTCCTGGTCTGAGAACCGCGCCACAGACTCCCGCGCTGCGCGTCTTATCTCCAGCTTAGCCGAAGGAGTCAGCGCCAGGATGGTTTCCATGGCCGTGGCGTAGCTGTCCTCGCTGTCCGCCAGGAAGCCCGTCTGCCTGCCCTCGTGCGGCACCACGATGTCCAGCTTCGGGCCGCCTGACTTGTGGGCGAGGACGATGGTTCCTGCGGCCATGCACTCCACCACTCCTGGAACGACAGAGACGGGATGGACGTCTCTCAAACATAAAACACCACTTACCTGAAGAGTAAGTGGTGTTTTACTTTATTATTACTTCAGAATAAAATGCTGATATGAAAAAATCTACAAAAAAAAAAACAGCTTCCTGTTTTATTTTTTTACCTAATGCAAGTCCAATCAGCTTAAATAACCTTAATCTATGGCTGAAATGATTAATCAAATTAATTGTGCTGAATTGATGATTGAAATAATTGTCAAATATCTTAGTAATGGATTAATCATTAACTGGAGAATACAAAGAGCAGTAATTAATTACTGAAAATTTCTTATTTAGACATTTTTGCTATCCAGTTACCACCTAGTTAATGGAGACAATAATCAATAATAATCTTGTGTTCTCACCGATGCCGAAGTGTTCGTTCCACATGGTGTGCAGCCCGATGGTGGCGCTCACCAGCTCCCTCTTCAGCTCGGCGAAGGGAACGTTGAGCTTGAAGTCGACGCGGTCGGAGACGCCGAGCTCCTGACAGAGGCCCCGCAGCATCAGCACCCGGTCCTCGTCTTCCTGGTTCCTGCAGCCGCCAATCAGCACCAGCCGCAGCGCCTCCCGGCCCCCGGGCCCGTCCCCCTTCCTGTCCAGCAGCAAGGCAAACGCTCTGATTTGCAGCGGGTGATCCTTCTCCGGCCTGAACTGACCCACGGACACGATGGAGTGGCACTTCCTGTCTCCTCCAGCTCCTCCACCTCTCCCGTCCTCTTCGCCCCCCAGCTCCTCCCAGCCCTCCTCCAGCTCGTCTTCGTCCTCCTCCCCCTCCAGCGGGACGTCCAGGAAGGCCCTGACGTCGCACGGCGGGTACACTACGCTGGTGCGGCTGGGGCAGCGCCACAGGGCCAGGATATGTCCCAGCGTCCAGGTGGAGTTCACCATGACGACGTCGCTGCAGGAGCCGGCCAGACCGTAGAGCAGAGCGAAGAGGCAGTAGTACAGCACCTTCAGGGCGCTCAGAACCGGGTTTCTGGAGATGAAGTCCGCATTGTTGAACCTGCAGTTAAAGGTTTGGGGGAAATATGTTCAAGTTTCTGCTCAGAATAAGAGGACATTTCATTAAAGGGACAGTATTCTGAATTTTCCAGCCACATAGGATCATTTTATAGCACAATGAAGTAACTCTGCCACCTTCAGTGGTTACAAAAAAATCCAACATATAAAATATGACTTAAAAGAAATCTGTAATTTAACGCCTCTATCTCTTTAAGGAGCTCCTGCTCTTTCTGAACAGGAAGTAAGAGAGTAAAGCTAATAAAATGAGCTAAAAACAAGATTTCTGTTTTTGCCTTTCAAGAAACTTGATGGTAAAGTTGTAAAAAACTGACAGCATGATCATAAGTGTTATTCTTGACATTTTCTGCTCTACTTCTTCCATGAGAGCATCGATAAATATCAATAAATTTGAAAATATGACTCAATAGTTACTGTGTGCAGCTTGGTGATATTTTTTTGTATTATTTTCTAAGTGGCACCTTGTTTCAGCTGGGAATGTTTTTCAAGAACAATGTGTGTTTGTGGTTTTATGACCTCTGCCGTTCATTCACGCTCACTCAAGAGTTTTCTTAAAAATAAGCAGCAAAGTTTTTTCAGGAGGAGTTTTGTCACAAAGTCGGAGCTAAATCCACCCGTGGCAACCATTCAGCTGCCACGGGAGATCAAAGGATTTCCCAAACATTCGTGAAAGAATCAAGGCAAGACTCCAGGTATGTTTTTGAAGAGGAAATAACATTAAAGCTTGGTGTAAAGCCAGACGGTGATCTCTACCTGGGGTTCCTCTCTCTGACCACAGACAACATGTCCGTGCTCACGGTGGGATAGTGGACGTAACTCGCCACCTTGCAGCCTCCCAAGTACCGGAAGATTGGAAGCGTAAAGGCGTAGCCCATGGAGTCGATGTACAGGTCAGGAACAAAAGCTGTGAGAGCTTCCCACCCTAAAACACACACACACACACTCCTGCATTAGCTGCTTTAATACAAAGAAGAAGAAAACACCCAAAGATCCAGAAAGACCTACGCTTGTAGAAGCACCAGAAGTGACCCTAAAACTGAACTGTGTTTTACTTTTTCTAAACTCTTAACACTCAACGTGTTCACGTCTTACCGAGGAACATGGAGCCCAGGCTCTGGCCCAGCAGGGTGAAGTGAGGGTACGAAGTGGCCTCCACCAGGCCGCGGTGACGCAGGAAGACGAAGGTGACGGGTCGGGGTAGAGTGATGTTGAAACGCTGGCGCGCCCCCTCCAGGATCTGTTCACCAGTCACTCCCTGGTCCCCCGTGTACACCACAAAGGAGACGTTGGAGTATCTAGAATAATGGGGAGGCAACGGTTGCCATAAGCTCTCCATTTTTATTAGGTTTTCAAATATAAAAAAAAAAAAAAAAAAAGGGAAGATGAAGGAAGACAGCAGACAGGTCAGAAGGTTCTGGAGAGGTTTAAAGCAGAGTTGGCTTATCAAACAGATCTGTTTGTGCATTATATGGCACAACCACAAATCTATCAAGCATCACGTAGCTTTATGGAAGAAAACCTTGCCTCTATGGAGATGGGCATTTATTGCATTGTTTATCAATTGTGTTACATAAATTTATCAATAACAGTTCTTATAAGAATTTATTGTTATGATAAATTCCAATTAATGATGTTTAAAAGCGAAACAAACCTGCCCATATTGTCGAGATTATTAACTTTACTATATTTTCCACTGTTTGTTCAATGAGAGCATCAACACATAATGATTTTGGAAATATGATTAAATGCAGTGACTGTGTGGAGTTTAGTGATACATAATTTCTCACTAGAGTCCTAAAGAAGCACATTAATCTCTTCTAGAGCAGCATTTCCCTATCATTTATAGATACCTAAAACAGAAGTAATCTCATCACTTATATCGTCATCACCAAGGTACAGTAAAATATCGGGATAAACTTTAAGACTATGTGGCCCACCACTGTGTGAGGTTTTAAAAAGATCTCACATAGTCACATAGCGCTGCAGAGCCACGTCGACAGGCAGGCAGGTCACTCAGACCTGACACTTGTTTGCTCTTATCACCAGTTGTGTAAACAATTAAACCTTTGCTTTTTGAAGGTTTCTTGGTTCGCTAATATGGAACCCAAAGATCCAGAAAGGAGCAGCAGGGAAACAGGAACTAGAGCAGCGAGAGGGAAGCCCGGGAATCGAACTCGGGACAGCCGAACAGGGTGCGCGCGAGCTGCCAGCTGAGCCACCGTCTGACATCCTCCCTGTCAGTGACGTGACGTGACCACATAGTGTTTCGACCAAAGGATGTGTCTGGGCTCCATTACCGGTTCATGAGGGCCCTCAGGGAGCACCAGAGCACCCGCTCCCCGCCTCCTCCAGCGTGGCAGTACGGGTGGAAGAAAGCCACAGCCGGGCCGCCGTCCCGAGCGCGGCGAGTCTTGCGGCGACCCTGCAGCCAGACGCGGAGCCCCAGCAGAACCAGGAGCAGCAGCAGGGTGAGGGCCAGGCTGAGGAAGACGCAGGGCATCACCAGGGACCACAGCAACCTGGCGGAAGGAGTTCATGAAGCGGCTTAAAACCCGCTTCAATCTGACGTTAGCCTGCTAGCTGCTAGGCTAAACTTAACGCCGTCACCAAAATTACATTTCAAGCAATAAACTAATGTTCCTCTCCGACACTTTCTTTCTATATAATGCTATATTTTTGGTTAAAAAAATAAATAAAAAATAGAGCCTTTGTACCTCATCAAGTCGCAGAAGCACAGAGAGAAGTGGTGATGGTGTCCTGCCATTTTGACAAGCTTCTGCCGTGACGTCACAGCCTGTCAGCTGACCGGGCCTCCGCTCTCTGATTGGCTCAGCGTTTTGTTTACCTGCATGTCATCAACATGTGATTGACTACTTCTGCCCTCCGGAGGAAGCAAGCTGTGTGTGTCTCAGTTTTTATGCACGTCACCACATTTGATTGATTCAGAAGCAAAAGATTGAAAGAAAAAATAAATCACACTTAATTGAAGGCGACACAATCTAGAAATTATGGGACGAGAAAGAGAACCTCCATCCCCGGTGTATTTCGTAACGTGAGCTGGTGGATCATCCAGGAAGTAGCCTATCAGAGTGATCTGAGCTTATGATGTCATTAAAAACAGTCAGTTATATTCCAAAGAGACATTAAATGTATTTATTCATATCGTCAAAAGTCTTAAGGCTGGTTGTGGATAGTGATGCTGTGGCCAAGAAGGATCTCCAGTAACAGTCAGTTTTGCAGCCCATCTGAAGAGGCCTCTGATATTCATTTACTATTTTCTAGTTTTGTTTACATTTTATTCAGAGAATTCAACATAATAAGAGATTATGGGCCGACATCAGGGAGAATCTGGGAGAAAATCTGAAGGAACCAGACGTACACATGATGCCAATATTTACATTTACCATGTAAAACTTCACCGGTTTATTGGCTCTGCATTTTCATACTGTATGATTTATTTTTTCATAGCCTGTTTTCACAAAGTGTTTCAAGACAAACAGGTAAACTAGCAGCAGTGGACAATACAGAAACGTAACACACCAATCATAAATACCTATTTGGCTTTTTTGACCCAAAAAAAAAACCAAATAAATAATCACTGGCAGTTTTTTTTTAACCTTTCTGTTCCGATGGTTACAATAATGTCTTTATTCATCTATTCACCAGTAGATGACACAAACTCCCCTAGATCCGCCCAGCTGTACGTAATCCATCTAAAGTTTAATCCAACCATTCTTTGTTTCTGTTTACTGTTTTCTTTCTATCTTTTTTTAAAATTGTTTTAGAATCGAAATGTAATTCTCTGTTGTTTTTTCAGATTTCTGCACAGATGCCATTCGTTTAGAATGGGACGACATTTTATTTCCATGAATCTGAAATTAAACGTTTGGCATCTGGCCGGTGAAGTTTCAAAAATGAAATATTGCATGCAAATGCAGTATGGAAGGATGATTTTGTGCCAGGTTTTTGAATAACTTATTCACATGTGATTTCAATTGCATTTATTATTCAATGTAAATCTGCAATTGAGACTTCAGCGATACACTGACAAAGTTCTGTGCACATTTGTAATGGAAATAATGCTGAATGATTTATTTCAATCATGCATCTCTTGTAATTCTGATGATTGTGACTTGCAGATGACAAAAAGCCAAAATTCACTAAGAAAATCTATCAAAGCAACCTGGGCTTCCATTACACCTGGTCCGCTCCACGCTGCATTAATGCACCAATTCCTGCAAAGGAAGACCCAGCCTGGTACCGAGTGCAGAGAAATGTACAAACTTTTCAGAAGGCTGACATTTTTGGCATTTATTTACCTGTAAGTCATAGTCATTACAAATAATAATAATAATAAAGCATAATCTATTTTACTCTGTATGTTGTGAATCTCAATAAAACAATCATTTCCCTTTCTGAAATGACAGACAAGAAATACTGCGCCTTCATACTCGGCCTGTCAGAATGAATTTTGCTGAACAATAGATCGTATCAGAAGTTATCGCAATAAACGATAATAATGTTGTTTTCAGACCATTTTCAAGTCATAAAAGGTGAAGGCATAATAATGCACAAACAGATTCACAAAGATAAAAAAAATGTTCAATTCTAATGAAAACTTAACAAGAACTGGAAAATATTGTGAATATCCAAAATAAAACAGGAACAACAAATAAAATTAATTATGGAGTTTACAGAGGTAAACAAAATCATCCTTCAAATACAAAGGAATAGTTGAGACCAAAGCACCAGAATGAAGACCTTTATCATCCAGAAAGAGAAAAAAGAAAACGATAAGTCTGGCAAATGGAAATCATCGAGTTCATTTTAATTTATCACGCGATTCATTGATTTATTGCGACATCATTCGACATCATTCTCATTTTCAGACAAGTACCAGCAGTGAGATGTTGTCACCAGAGCCCCATGAAACCGACTGCGGAGGTCACCTGAACTCGAAGCCCGCGCACATTGCCATATAAAGACAAAAGCTCTTTGATTCCTGTTTCTAAAGTGCCGCATGTCACTTCCTTCCTCGGAAATTTGAATAGATGAGCCAAGGCCCCTTCAGACCGAGCTGATTCAGAGCGCTGCCTGTCGAGCGGTGAGCAGCAACAGCAGCCAGACGGACAGAGAAACCACCCGCTTCACCTTCCAACCCCCTCGCATCATCTCTCAGGTAAGGCGGCGCCGATGGGATCAGGTTTGCCACGCATCCGTTTGGGTGTCTGCCCAGGTATCAGGTGAATTTACAGGAAGTAACTCCTCTGATGAAACGGCAAAGAAGGGAGAGACTCTAGAACATATGTGACTTTCGGCACAATAAATTAATTTTGCTTTAATATTTTTAAAGAAATTGCTTTCATGCGCAACACAACGCGCTTGAAAACTGCTCAGCGACGAAATCTTTTTGAAATGATTCAGCCGCTGCTCATGTATAAGTTCGAAGACGAAGGCAGATGGAGGTTTGAGAGAAGAGGAGCAGCTTGCAGTTAGCAGGAAAGGAAGTTTGTGGTTAGCGTCGTATCAACTGAGAGAAGAAAAAACTCCCTCCGAGTTCAGCGTGGGCCTGAACGAAACATCGGCATTTAATTTATGATTAATAATCCGTCTCGTTTCCGATAAGATGACCTAACCAGGGTGCGTTAACACGTGTGTGACACGGTCTGGGAGCTGACGCTGCTGTAATTCATGCAGTTTTCCACACACTGAACCTCTGCTGCATCGTCTGACGGCTAACATGCAGATTCAAATATTTATATTTTTCTGCAAAACGGTGCAAAAAAGGGTGAAGATGGATTCCAGTTGCAAGTCATTTTCTGAAAAATTTTCCCCTTTTTTCTCACATCTTCACTGATGCGTTAAGATGGCAGACAGGAAGCAGGTTGAAGAAATAAAAAAGTGCAAAGTGTTAGCTGCAGCCTGAGGCACGTTTGTGTCACGTAGACATAAAACAGACTCTAAAAACAATCACGTATTTGTTTGAAATAAAAAATGTCGCCCAAAACTCAAGAAACATCTCATTTAAGACTTATGCTTTCTTCTTCTGTGGTGCATTGGTGGCGTTTACTAATGTTAGCTCCCCTGCTGCTTGTTCCTTAAAAAAACCCAAAACCAATAATTGAAAAATGATTTAAAAGCACAATTATCTCAGTCTAAAAGGTCGTCCAAACAATGTTGATGTTGATATAAGGAAGTGATACTCGTCACTTCTTATTCAGTTTTATGGAAAACGTTTCTGTGTCGAGTCAAATATTCTTGGAGACGAGCACCGGCGTCAAAGTGAAAATGAACGCCTGATTTGAAAGGAACATTTGCCTCTTTTGAACATGCAAATGTAGTTTATAGATCCAAAATCTGAGCTCCTGCAGCCTGTTGCAGTTTAGCATCAAACTGTTGTCAAATATAGAAAATTCAAAACCCGGGACATGCCTCCTGAGACAAACTTCAACCTTTTACGTTTCTGACTTTATGACATTCTCTCTTCTGCATGCCCACAGAAATAACCAAACAAACTTCTAGTTGGAAGTGACAAATGACCATAACATGCCCATGTTTGGGGTCTTGCATGCAGAGGGAGGAGATGCAGGAGGAATATTTTTTTAATGTAAATGTGAGAACATAAAAAAAGGTGTGAATTTACTGCAGGATGGCAGAGAAGCACTGCAGAATAATTACGACTCTTAGCAACACAGGAAGGAAGTTTTAAGAAGCAACGTGAGCAGATGCTTTTAAGAGCTGATAGAGATCTCTTTAGGCTGTGCTGCATGGAAAAACGGGAGATAAACGGCAGATAAGCCGTAATCGGTAACAAATCTCACACTTTAAACGTCAGTGAATGAAAAGACGGCAGAAAAACTGGTCAGGCTTGCAGATATGCAGAGCCAAGTTTCATTTCTGCTTCCACTCTGCTGTCCGCTGCAAGAAGCAACTTCCCCGTTTTCACTGCCTCAACGTCTCATTATATATAATTTACTTTTCTTTTACTGCTGTTTAAACATCTACCTGTGCACAAATTCAGACAGGAAAGCACGTGACTAAAAGCAACAGCACTTCAACATATTTGTAATCCTTTATGATTAGTTCTCCTTTTTTTGTCATTTTAGCATCTTGCTATCTCACGTCATACGCTAAAATGTCTCTTAGAATAAAAAAAAAGTCAACAGACGAGCTCTGACAGCGATGTTTCAACAGGATATCGTTTCAACAGATAGAGGAACTTCCTCTTACTGATCTAAAATCAGTTCTGTTTGTGTGAACCATCCAAGCCGTCATCGGTCCAAAGACAAGCTCAGCAGCTCTCTGGGTTTCAATAAACCCAGAGAGCTATAAAACCCAGAAATATAAAACACAGTTCTTTGTCTGAACAGGTTTCCCTCCTCGGTGGGTGTTCATAGTCTGAATACATGAGGCGTTCATGAAAACAAACTCCAGTTAGGTCAGCCCAGTGACTTTGTGTGTAGCTGGCTTCAATGTAACAGCAGTTTAGCTATGACTCTTAAGAAAGGCTGAACTGAAAATTAAAATATGGGCAACACCTTCAAGTGTGAAATAATTTTATATTTCACCGTCTTTTTTAAAACTGTTTCATCATCAGGCTCGTCTTTCACTGCAGAGGAGCAGGAAGTTAAATCACTGACGGCCAACAAGCTCAAAGTTTATTCTTTTGTGGTTTAAAATATTCCTGCGAAATGCCAAAAAAGGATCTGCGAACACACCGACGCGCTCGGGGTGAATCATCATACACTGAAATAAAATGTCCTGCATGTCATATGATCATCGCTAATGCAAATAAAATGTCACTGGACTGACCTTTTCCGTTTCCTATAGA